TGGCACACACTGGCACACACACTGGTGCACACATACCCTAGCACACACTGACACACTCACAGCCTGGCACACAATGGCACACACACTGGTGCACACACACCCTACCACACAATAGCACACACACTGGTGCACACACACCCTACCACACAATAGTGCACACACACACAGCCTGGCACACACTGGCACACACTGACACGCACACTGGTGCACACACCCTAGCACACAATGGCACACACACTGGTACACACACCCTACCACAGATTGGCACACACACTGGTACACACACCCTAGGACACAATGGCACACACACTGGTGCACACACACACTCTACCACACAATGGCACACACACTGGTGCACACACACCCTAGCACACAATGGCACACACACTGGTGCACTCACACCCTAGCACACAATGGCACACACACTGGTGCACTCACACCCTGGCACACACACTGGTGCACACACACCCTAGCACACAATGGCACACACACCCTGGCACACAATGAAATGCACCCTGGCACACAATGAAATGCACACTGGCACACAATGAAATGCACACTGGCACACACACCCTGGCACACAATGACATGCACACTGGCAATCAATGAAATGCACACTTGTACACACACACTGGCACACAATGACATGCATACTGGCAATCAATGACATGCACACTGGTGCACACACCCTGGCACACACTTTCACACAAAGGCATGCACACTGGCATACACACACAGACACTCACATATGCTGATATATTCACATTGACACACATGCTGTGACTCACACGCACAGTGGGAACAGATGTAAAAGGTCCACAGGTCACTCTGAATCACCAGCTTCTAAAGACTGGGAGTATCTGCACTCTGCTTGAGAAGCAAGCAAGTTTAGGTTCAAGTGAGGGACCTCAGCCCTCGAACAGTGAGGAGTCTTGAAATCTGTGTAACAAATGACCTTTAAAACTGTTGACTTTCACAAATAACCTGCCTGGTTGCTCACCAACAACATGCAGCAAAGACCTTTGGTGGCAGGTGATCTTATGGTTCCCTCACTACACCAGCTCTCAGGGGTCAGGGCTGGAGACCCCCGTTTCTTTCACACGAACGATTGACCGCATCGGGCAGGCAGGAGGGCGGGCGGACAAGAGACTCACTGCTTGCCCGGTCGCGCGATGTAGCACAGCGTGTAGAGGGCCAAGTCGAACTCCGGGCTGCTGCCAATCAGGGCAGAACCCACCTGCTTGAAGTAGCCGTCCCAGTTAAACTGCATGCCCAGCACATCGGGGTACCCTGTCCACTGCAAAGAGCAGGAGAAGTCAGGGGTCAGAAGACAGGGTAAGTGGTGGAGAAAAAGACAAGGCAGAGGGAAACAGAAAGCGAACAATGCAAGGACAGTTAGAAAATGTGGGACAGGAAGGGAGGTTTCCACAACCAGGAAAGACGTCAAATGTGCTGCATGGACATCCCAGAAAAGCAACTGTGTCCCAGAATGCACACTAATTACTATTGCTTGAGCGATACTGACACCTGCTGGCAACAACAAGGTACTTCACACTGGTGCAGTCAGACACAGGATGACATTTCAGCTCGGACACCCAATCCCAATGGTCCTAGCAGGGTTTTGAGCAACAGCAGCAGAAATGACAGCAGTAATAGCAATAGCTGCAACAGAATCAACATTATTAATACTCTGCAATTGAGCAGTGACAACAATAAAATCAGATTATTATTAACACTATACTTGGTGGTCTTGTGGCAGCCGTAACAGGAGGATTAGCAGTAACACATCACCGCACTACTGCTAGAAGTAACAACAACAGTATTTACAGAAGTGGCAGCATCAGCAGCAGTACGAGTAATGCTGGGAGTAAGTGTGCAGTGGCCAGGGCCTCTGGACTCCGGGCTGCAGGGTTACGGGTTCAAATCCCAGGTGGGAAACTGCTGTAGCCCCCTTGAACTAGTTGCAAGACAGCATCACTGGGTCTCGTTGTAAATGACGAGTTCAATCTCAATAGACTTGTGTGGTTAAATAAAGGGAAAGCAAATGTCATCATACTCACGGGTCCGTCAAAGTTGTGGCTGTAGTAGTTGAGCAGCCCCTCTTTCTCCAGGAGGTAGAACTGGACCCAGTTGTGGAACCCGGAGACCTTCCCCTTCTTAATCTCCCCTTCAGACAGACAGACAGGCCATCTGTAAGACAGGCAGGGACAC